ATCGGCAGAGACAACCTATCAGGAACTGATCCCTGCTGCTCTGGCAGCCAGAGCTTCACAGAAGCAGGCTGGGAAAAGAGCAGGGGGACACCTGGGTCCGATGGTAACCTTTGACATCTTTGGGTGGATCTCTCAGAGGTGGTGGCACCTGAGGCTTCTGCCTGGCAGGCCAAGGCTCTTGATTGGCGTTTGATGCCTTGAGAGCGTTGAGCTGAATCATTTTCAGAGTGGTGACCTCTCATCAGCTATGAGAAGAGTTCAAATTTGGTTCATTTCAAGCCCTCAGGGCAATGTGTCTTAAGATGTATTTTTACCATCGTAATACTCCTTGAATTAACAAGAAAGTATCTCATGTTTGTACACGTTGCTGTCTGCTCACTCCATTCTAGGAGGAGGAGAGTAGAATGAGAACCCATGGACTCGCTAGGACCCCCACGGTGGAAGAAGAGAAGAGAACTGACTCTAGGAAACTGTATTGGGACATACACATGTACTCTGTGGAACATATGTGAACACACACACACACACACACACTGTAAAAATTTTCTTTGGCCTACAGTGGGGAATAGCATGTACACTTGCTCCCTCTTGTGGTTGTAGAGACAACTACACTCTGATGCCTGATTGTTGGCTTGAGGAAGTCTTAGGAGTCTGGTGAGGCCCCGCCATCTCTTTTATTTACCTCACATATTCCTCTAGATGCTCCCCGCTTTTTATTTCAAGACAATCTTTTTATTTAGATTCTGAGGAGATGGATTATTCCATACAGTGCTTGTAAAAAGGAATAAGGACCTGGGTTTGATCCCAGCACTTTGGTCTTCAGGCTCAGTGACACATGTCTCTACCCACTGAGCCACCTACCCAGCCCAATGGGATTAAGTCAAAAAACCCTCAGAAGCAAACTGTCTTAAAAGAAGGTGACTGCAAACTAGATATGAGTGAGAGGCGGATGTCAGCAAGTTTACATTTTAAGATAAGATGATGAAAAGGCTCTCTCCCTCACTTCATGCTTTGTCTGGACCCCACCCGAGCTTGCCTCACACAAGCCTCATATAGGGGAGACACAGCAGATGGAGAGACGTGGACAGTTGGAGAACCTTTCACAGCCCACTAGAGCAATTTAGGTTTCACCTGGTTTAGTCAGAGTGGAAAGGGACATTGCCACTGAGTAAACAAGAAAACAACACACAACCCAAATCCTTCAGCACAGTCATTTTCATTTCAAAGAAAGAAGAATTTAGGTGAAAAGGAGGCTTGCGAGGACGCTGCACACCTGAGCCTCTGGCCACTGGTTCAAGGCCATGCCCAGGGACTGTCGGAAGGGAGAGGGAAGACAGCTTTTAGCCTCGTCCACAGATGTTCAGCTGCTCCCTTCTAGAGAGCGAGCTTGATTCTCTCTTCCTTGGTGACTCACTTTTAGGGAAGAGGGATGTGTGTGATGAGCAGGCAGATGAAAGCTTCTGGTTCCTCTCCATGTCAGGTTTTTGGGGAAGCCCCCTGCCTTGTGTGCACACCTGCTGTTCTCCAAAGCTCGCTTGTTCTCCAGTCTCTGGAGTTCTGAAGAGGCAGTGGAACGGGGGAGGTGTGGCCTAATAGGAGAGAGCTAGGTCATTAGGAGGGTGAGTTTGCAGGGAACGCTGGGACTCTGATATCCTTTCTTCTTCTTTTCCAGTTGTTAGGAAGTGAGCTGCGGTGTTCTGTCTTGTGACAGCCTAAAAGCACAAGGAGTCAGTGAAGCATGAACTGAAAACTCTGAAATCATGAGACAAAATAACCCCTTCCCTCCTTAAGTTGATTTCCTCAGGCATTTTGTTCCACTGACAGAAAGCTGCCTGTCACAATACTTCAGCTTCTCACTGGGAGCGTCTGCTTAAATTGTCTGTGTCTGCCTTTTCACTCTTCCTCTGCTGAGACTCCTGAGTCTGGTGATGTGTATAATACCGTCTTTGTGTCTTACTGCTCCTCAGTCATGCCTTCATGGGGTCTACAAGGCTGGGCCTTTGCTTCAGTTTCTGCTGCCTCCAGATTCCTGCTGTAACTGAAATCAGTTTTTTCTTTTTCAAGTTGCTTTGGTCATGGTGTTTTATCACAGCACTAGAAACCCTAACTAAGTCATAATTTATACCAGGTCATGGGGTATTGCTGTGACAGAGCTGGACACATGTTTTCAGGAGGCATGTGTGGCATTTTAGCTTTGGAATGGAAAAGCCATTGAGTGCTCAGACATCAGTGGGCTGTTCTGTGGGAGCTTGGAAGACAAAAATGTTAAGAGCCGTGCAGATGATGGAGGCCTGGCTTGTGAAGGTCCAGAGGGAAGTGAGAGTTCCCTAAGGACGCTATTGGGGCCATCTGATATATTAAGAATCTGTGGTCTGCTTAGCTGGGGCTGAAGAATTGACTATGATTAATAAGAGACCGGGACCACTAAGGTAAAACCTTTGCTTTTCTGGGACAATCAATGCTGGTCACTGCAGCTGAGAAATCCTCCGGAAAGAATTCCCCCAGGGACATCTCACAGAGACTATGGTCCAGAGGGCGCCAAGGCTGTCTGTTGTGCTGGCAGCCAAACTTGGTATGTGTAAGAGTTTCCCAGGTGGTGCTGGTTTTGAAGGAGTAAAGGGATTTAGGAGAACAGTTTAGGTTTGGCACTGTTTTGGCAGGACCTGAGTCCCTGAGAGAATCAGTCTGGGCGGGGCTACTGGTGAAGGTGCAGCCTCAGTCACAGCAGAGGCCCAGTGGTGAAGAGATCATGGAGAGAAGTTAAGGCTTGGCACTGTGTGGCAGGGTCAGCGTCCCTAAAGAGGGCTCAGGAGAGGCTATTGGTGAAGGTGCAGCCAAGCGGCTGTGGAGACACTGTTTTGAAGACGCCAGTACCATCCATGGGATGACCACCAAGGATATCAGCAGCCATGACGTGGCTCTTTCCTGAGCATCAGAGAGGCACTCTCTGTCCTGTGGTAAGCCCTCTGCAGACCAGAAGAGCATGAGTGAGTCCCAGAAGTCCGACACTGAGCTTTACACTAGTGGACTTTGGTTTTGTGTTGGTGTGACTGTGGCTATGCCTTGGTTTTTCCCTCTTGGAATCAGAAAGGTTTTAACTTATTTTTGATTTTACAGGAGTCCACAACTGAGAGATTTTGGAATTTTATAGAGACTGGATACTTTAGAGAGACTGAACCTTTAGAATGTTTGAACTTTTAAAGACTGAGACTTGTAAAGGTTGGAATATTTTATCTTGTGATGCTAATATTAACGTGCCGTCTTGGGGAAAATGAGAAGGGAAGAGTTAGTTGAATAGTGATGCATCTGTGTGTCAAGCTGACAAGGGGTCAATCGTGCTGGCTAGTTTTATGTCAACTTGACACAGGCTAGAGTCATTTGGGAAGAAGTCTCAAATGACTTCTCATGAGGAAACGTCTCTTTAGTGCATTCTCTTGATTAATGATTAATGTGGGAGGTCCAACTCATGGGTTTGGGGGGGTAACGGCACCCCAGGGGAGCAGTCCTGGAGTGTATAAGAAAGCAGGTTGAGGAGCAATTCAGTGAGCAGCGTTCCTTCCCGGCTTCTGCTTCAGCTCCTGCTTCCAGGTTCCTTCCTTCCCTGGCTTTCTTCAGTGATGGATTTGTAAGCTGTGAGGTCTGAAAGAAACCCTTCCTTCCCTCATTGCTTTTGGTCATATTTTTTAAACTTTAGGTTTATTTATTATTTATTTGTGTGTGTGTGTGTGTGTGTGTGTGTGAGTGAGTGCTTGCTTGTATGTACGTATGTGTATCGTGTATGAGCCTCGTGCTCCCAGAACAGAAAGGGGCACTGGGACTCCTGGAACTGGAGTTAAAAATGGTTGTGGGTCATCATGTGGGTTCCAGGCATCAAACCCATGTCCTTTGCAAGAGCAACACACGCTCTTAACCGCGGAGCCATCTCTCCAGGCCCTGGTCATGGTGTTTCATCACAGCAATATAAACGTTGGTTAAGACACCGTGGGTCCCCAGCCTCGATGCAGACTGGAGCCACATAAGTCTTCACACACCCTCCTTCCGTGCCTAGCTGCTGGACAGCTCTCCCATCGGATGCTTCACTTTTTGTGTGGTAATACTGTGGGTATGAACATCTATGCCTGAGTTCTTACCTACTGAGCTCCCAGCTTCCTCCTGTACACTTTGTGAGGACAGCAGGGCAGGTGCCTGAAGCCCTCAACTGTTCGAGGCCGCTCAGTCCCGGTCCAGCCCTTGTATGGCCTTGACCACCTAGCCAGGGCTCTCTGGAGCTTCTCAAGCTATGAGAGGAACATAAGACCCCAGTGCAGAAGAGCCATTTTATTTGGCTGTGAACACAGTATAGTCTTCAAGCCTGAGGAAGGAGTTCCTTGAGAAGGTGGGTCATGCCATCTGTCAGGACATGTGAGCCGTGGGGAGCTGGGCAGGAGGGAGTGGATGGAGCAGCAAGAACCAGTTCTGTTGGGAGAAGAGTTCAATCAGGACAGAGACTGAGGTCAGTGACTCTCACTGGTACTGTGCTATCATCCACTGGCCCTCTGAGGGACAGGGGCATGCTGAGACCCAAGGCTCTGTCTCTGTGGCTCCTTGGGCATGTGTTTGAGTGTGTGTCTGTGTGCCCCCGTGGACGAGTGTTTGACTCTCATGTCTATGTGCTTGAGTGTGTACCCACTACACATGTATTTCTCTTTGAAGCTGTGTGTGGTTTCAGCCCATCGGCACACCCGTCAGTTATTCTGTGGATTCCATGCATCTCTGTGTGTCTGTGCTCGTGTTTGTCTCTTTCCTTGGGTATTGCTATAACTTGGAGCTAGCATCTTCCTCCCAGGCCCATGTGTTAAAGGCCTCGCGCCCAGGATGGTGCTGCTGGGATTGCTGCTGTGGATGCCGTTGTGTCAAGATCCTTGCTTCCCTGCCCTAGCGGATGACAGCTGGTCCACAAATTCTGGGGTGTGGGAACAGCATTTACCAGCTCAGCAGAGACAGACCCTTTCTCGGAAAGCTTAGGCCTTAATGACAAATTGCACTCCACGAAGCAGCAAGTCTAGAACAAAAATGACTAGAGTTATGATCTGGAGGTGAAGGAGTCCAAGGGGAACCTGGGTGCTTCCCGAGGCTCTGGAACACCAGCCATGCTCCCCACACCCAGACATGTCGGGAAGCACTGGGTTCCCCTCCAGCCAGCACGGCCGCTCTCAGGCCTGGCTCAGGAGGGGCAGACATTACCTCAAACTCTCTGGATCATTCATGGGGACAGACATCCCAATCGGGGAGGGGTGTGGCTACCGAGACCTGGTTGTTCCATGGCATGTGGGGACAAAACTTGTGGGAAACTGATGCTTCCTCAGAGGGGGTGGAGGACTTGGAGACAGCACTTACCAGCAACGTCATGTGCCAGGGTGACATCCAAGAGGCTGAGAATTCCATTGACCAGAGGACACACCTGACCCAGGGCAGAGAGGCTGCATTAGGTGCAGGACCTCCTGCAAGGAGACCTTCGGAGAAGCAGCATGCTCACGGTAGACTGAATTGAGGAACACGCTCCACAGCCCAGAAGAAGCCAACCAATGTGTTTGGAGGAGTGGAAATAAGTAACCCAGGCAGCTGGGTCACAGGACAGATGGACCGACAGATGATAGATAGTTCTCATACAGAGTAGCTCAGCCCAAGAATCTCTAAGACCCACGGAGTAGGGGACTGTCATTTTGATCTCTTACCACACCCTGCACCAGGCCAGGAATGACATTAGTCAAGATGTCTGTGAGGCTGTCTATAAGGCTTTGAAGGGGACCAAGTCTGGAAGAGAAAAGGCGTGGGTGTGACTCAGAGGCTTGGGGTTGGGCTGGAGAAGTTCTGTAGCCACTGGGTACACTCAGGGACAAGAATGTGGAACCCACACATGCATGGAGGATACTTAGTATGTAGTTGTCATGGAGACTTGATGAAATAATACATGCAAAGCCCAATATACAGGCTTAGAAAATGCAAGTCATGGCCTGGACAGGTCTTATACACTATGTGTGACTGACTGGGCCTTCTCGTGTGACAGGCAACTGAAACAAACAATCCAAATAGGCTCTGCATCTAATACTGCTTAGTAGGATTCCATTAATAATCTCACATAGTTTTGTGTTAAAGACAAGGAAGGTGAGATCAAATTGGAGGAACACTGGCCAGGTTCATGTCAGAGGCTCTCTGGCTCTCCTCTCCTTATCAGAATATGATCTTAAACCATTTTCTGTATTGCCTATCCAACTTGAAATTGTTCTTCTTGATTTAATAAAGGGTTAAGAGAGTATTTATTCATCTGTTTCCTTATTTATTCATACACCTGCCTATACATCTGTCTCTCTGCCCACTGAACATCTTACCATCCCTCCATCTACCCATTCATCTACCCAACTGTCCATCCGTGGTTCCTCTCCCAATACATCTTTCTTCCTGTCCTCTTATTCATTCACCTTCCATTTGTTCCATCAGTTTATCCTGCTCTCTGTGGGCAGAGAAGCCTGTCCTTTGGCTTTACCTATTAAGCAGGTGGATGCGCAAGCTGCCAGGAGAGTGAACACAGTCACCGATGACCAGACGGCTCCTCCCATGCATGTCTCTCATGGCATAACCTCCGCAGTGACATCCAGCTTCACAGCCAGCTCCAGCAGACTTCCGACCACCAGTCTGGCAGAGAAGGCAGAGACTGCTCTATTGCTATCTGGCCTCTCTCACTCCCAGCTGGAGGGTTTCTTCTTGGCAGGAGTGTCGGCTTCACCTTACTCCATTTTGGCACAGTGGGATTGAGCTCTGTTCCCGTTAGGGGAAACCAAGGCTCAGAGAGGTCAAGTGTGTTTTCCACATGACCTCAGTTTGTTCTAGACGACATCAAATAGGCAAAGTTCAAGGGTCAGAGCTTTGCAGCTCTCCATAGCCACCAGGCTCTGCCCTTGGGGGTCTTCCACCACCACCTGACTTGGGACCTACTCACATGTTCACTCTGAGTTCAAAGCCCAGAGGGATGGTGGCATAGAGGCGGTGGAAGTCATAGCTCTGCGTAAGACCGATTTCCAGCAGCTGGGGATTAGTGACTCTTATGCTGGACGGGGAGAAACGTGAGCATGTTAAGCCTCAAGCCAGGGAACCACCTTTACCTAAATTTACTCATCTCTGAGGGAGAGCTGGCCATTTGAGATGAGGAAGACAGGAGGGTACCCTTGCAGTCAGAACCGCCCTGTGTTCTGAACCATATGCCCATCATTTCCAGCTTCCTTCCGGATCAGATCCCAACATACCTGGTCCTCTGCTTGCCTCAAGTCTAAGAGATATTTGAGGAAAGGAGCTGGTTGGGAGCTCTTCAAAGAAAGAGACTGACTTTAAGTTGGAAGGAAGATGAGTAATCGGATATGTGGGAGGGTGGATGAAAGGAAGGAAGAGTGGGTACATGGAGAGATGGACTGTCAGTGCAGGCAGAGAAGATACACTGGCAGGAATAAATCCTGCATAAGAGTAATGATGGAAATTACTCAACCTGTTGTGGCCTTCAATGGGCAGAAAGTTGGAAGGAATGCAAAAGGGCGGGAGGAAGCCTCCTCTAAGCTGTCCACGGTGCCAGGTATTTCCCCTTTCCTGGTCTCCACAGTCTTTCTCTCCGTCTCACGGGGAGAAATCAAGCCAGGGAGAGGCCGGGTGCCTGACCTCGGGTCATCCAGGGCAGACAGTTCTTATGGAAATTAAACTGAAGTCTGTCTCACTGTCTCTAGGTCAGGAAGCAAAGACCTAGGAGGCTGGGAGCCTTGGCAACGGCTTTGGTCCAGTCTCTCTAAGGACTCAGGCCCGGGTATCCAGTCACAGCAACAAGCTCCCCATTGTGGCTTTGTGCCTAAGAAGCCCTCTCTGAGTGGTCCATGGGAAGCAGCACATCAGGCCTCAGGCTCAGGCGACACAGATGAGGAGGGTGTGGCCTAGTGACTGCTCACCTTCCCCAGGTGACAGTGGGTGACGGCAGTGGGTGGCAAAGGCCCCCACTCAGGGCTTCTCTGAGTTAGATTCCTGCCCCTGCCTCACCCTAGCCATGGGGGCACAGGCAGATCTCTGTGCCTCACTCTTCCCACCTGGGCACTGGGGATCATGGAGCTGCCGTGGAAGGCCTGACACAGGGTGAACAGCTGCTGCTGGGGGCCAGGCCAGGCCTTAGGACTGGAGATGACTGCAAGTGCAGAGGGGCTGGTGTTCCTGCCAGCGTGGAGGGGGCCTGGGAGGAGTCCTGGCTCCGTCCATGCTCAGCCCCTCCCTCTCCCTCTGCAGGGCTGCTGCTTGGGGCGGGCAGGTCTTCAGTCACTGGCAGGGACCGAATTACTACTCACTCAAGGATGTTGTTCAGGAGAGGGATTGATGAAATCACTTTTCCAAGCGCCCCGACCAGGCCCCCAGCATTGCTGCCCACAGGTCTCACATAGTTCAGGAGCGGCATGTGTTCCAGAAAGCCCAGAAGCCCCCCAGACAGCAGGCCTTGACTGAAAGCTGCAAAGCAGAGACTCTCAGGGGTCACAGTTACTAACTCTGCAGCAGGGTTTTTCAACCTGTCGGTCGTGACCCTTTTTGGGGCTTGAACGACCCTTTCACAGAGGTCGCCTAAGACTATCAGAAAACACAGATATTTACATTATGATTTATAATAGTAGCAAAGTGACAGTTATGAGGTGACAACGAGGAGAATTTTATGGTGGCGGGGCGTCACCACAACATGAGGAACTGTATTAAAGGGTCACAGAGAACTGCTCTCCAGCCTTAGATCCTCCTTCTCACTGATGATTTCCTTCCTATTGGGAAGCTGAATAGACTAGAGCAGATGTGTGGAAACATGTACACACACACACACACACACACGTGTGTGTGTGTGTGTGTGTGTGTATGTGTGTGTGTGTGTATGTGTGTGTGTGTGTGTGTGCATGCACCCCGGAATCCCCAAAGAGAATGTAGAGACTCACCATGTCTGAAGTTTCTAGCTAGATGGTCCGTAGGATACTTGGACACAACTGGAGTAACTCCATAGGGCAGGCTCTGGCCCAGATACAAGGACCGGCAATGACCTGTGGACGTGGGCAGGTCATAGGTTAGGGGCATGGGCAGGCCTGCCAGCTGGGCTGTGCTCTGGGCCAGCAGCCCACAGAGGACAACGAGGCTCCCGACTAGAAACATGTCTCTCGGTGTCTGCAGACAGAATGACAAGTCCACTGTCTATGGAGATCAGAGGATTCTCTGCACTGCCTGCCTTGTCCCCTCGGCTGGGAGTGTCACTATTTCCTCCCCAGAACTCCAGCAGCTGATAACTAGCAACAATAGCTAACATTGCCACAGGAGTCTGTCCCAGGCCCCAGGCTGATGCATTCGGTCACCAACTTCACGGTCACCACATCCTCAGACGTGCACACAGACAACCCCTCCTGTACAGTTGGGACAGAGGCCTGGTGACTCTAGGCACTTTGCCCCAAGGTCACAGGTTGCAGCTATGAGAGGATCTGAAGCCAGGCCTGCCTGATCCAGAAGCCTCTGTTTAAGTAGGTAACCATCAGATTTCCTCTGGGGCTGGGGGATGTGACTGTGGTGGCCTGGCCCTTTGCCCCCATCCCTGCTCTTCAGTGTGAATGAAGAGACTCCAACATGGCAGAAGCTGAAGGTCTGAACTGCTCAGCCATCACCTCTGCTATGGGATAGCTCTTTGGTCTGTGGTCAGGCCATGATGGCTTGTGGATACCATCAGGAGCCACATAGTGTCAAAGGTCACATGACCACAGGCAGCATCTCAACCTGTGATAGTGACCTTGTTAAAATTTCTTCTCTAGAGCTTTTACTTAGGTCAGATGGAGAGAGTGCTCCATCAGTGTCGCCCTCTTTAGGAAATGGCCAATCCTTGCCCTTGATAAGCTGGTAGTGTTTTGATGTTGTTTTTAGGTTCTGAGTGAGTGGTGGCACCATCTGTCGGCAGCAGGGGGCCTGGCGTCCCAATACCGGGGAGCATCGGTGGAGCAGAGGAAGGGTCAGGTCTTACCTGAGTCTCAAGGTCTCAGTGGCTGTCCTGGGCTCCTCTCCTACCTGCTTCTGCTTAGGAGGCAACAGCATCTTTTATAGAACAGGAATCAGGAAACACGAGATTAGATGATGTGCTTCCAGATAATTCCGAATTCTGCAATCTGCCAGTGTCAGAGTTCCACAAAGTGAATAATTACCAATCGCGCCAGCAGGTGAGTCAGCTGTTTGGTCCACAAGCTAAACAAGCAAACTTGAGATGGAAGGTTATTAAGGACTTCGTGGTTCCATGCATGAGGCTTAGGCATGGGATCCATGCCCACGAGTGGCAGGAAGATCAGGAATATGTGGGTCGCCTCGTCAGGAACTCCATTCTTAGCTCTCATCCACATCCTTCCCTGGCCTTATTCTTTTTCTCTATTTGGTGATATTTTGCTCATACACTACACGTGCCCTCCCAGCTCTGATCGCTCTCTCAATTCTGTACACACGTGTGTGTAGGTGTGTGCCTGTGTGCATGCATGTTCGTAGGCCCTCACCTGGTTCTTGGTAGGGAGGCTACTTGTTTACAGAGGAGAAAATTGAGGTCCAGTTAGGACAAATGATCCAGAGAGGACAGGCCAAAGTTAGAAGTCAACTCATTGGATAATAATAGCATGCACACAATGGGGGCATCGGACACGTGCCAGGTCCCGTGGGTGGGGACAAGCTTTTACAGTGAGAAGTGGGGTTCCAGGGTGAGGCGGCAGGACAGAGAGACATCCACACTCTGTCTTTCTTCTTGCCAACGTGCTGAGAGACGGAGACGGCCTCCTCATGTTTGCTTGCCCTTTGATTTCCTACACCACGCCTGCCACTTCTGATAAAGATTTATTTGGTGAGATAGGTTATTATCTGGAGGGTTTGCTTACCGGCTAAGAGTGTTTCTGGTTCTTGTAGAGGAGCCTGGTTTAGATCCTGGCACCTGCCCTATAACTCTATTTCCAGCATTTCTGATGCCCTGTGCTTTCCTCTGACACATGCACACATGTGAAGCTCATAATCACATGAGCATGCATGTTTACATATTATTTCATTTATGCTTCTATTTACATGTGTCTGTGCATGTGTGTCTGTGTGAGCGTATGCACACATGTGTGTTTGAATTCCCACAGAGACCAGAAGATGGCATTGAAGAGTTTAAGTTAGCCAGAATATAACTCCCATTTTGAAATAAAGATTTTGACTGGGAACTGAATTCATGTACCAGGAAATATCACAGAATGTACACCTGGCAGAAAACAAAGTTAACTCTCCTAGCAACAGCCTCCAGGAAATATAACAGAATAAATGCTTCATAGAAAATAGAGACAAACTCCCTGGCAATAATCAATGGGAATCGATTGAGAATCGGGTGGGAAAATTCTCCCCAATGTTTGAGATGTGGTTTAGAAAAATAGCCATTGTGATTATATGCCTTAGCTATTGTGATTGTGTGCCTCAGAAAAGGTCACCCCGCCCTGCTAAACTTCACCCAATTCTGTAACGCCAAGGCTTGTTCCCC